TGACCCAATCAAAAAATGGGCCAAAGAACTAAACAGACATTTCTCCAAAGAAGACATACAGATGGCTAACAAACACATGAAAAGATGCTCAACATCACTCATTATCAGAGAAATGCAAATCAAAACCACAATGAGGTACCATTACATGCCAGTCAGGATGGCTGCTATCCAAAAGTCTACAAGCAATAAATGCTGGAGAGGGTGTGGAGAAAAGGGAACCCTCTTACACTGTTGGTGGGAATGCAAACTAGTACAGCCGCTATGGAGAACAGTATGGAGATTCCTTAAAAAACTGGAAATAGAACTGCCATATGACCCAGCAATCCCACTTCTGGGCGTACACACCGAGGAAACCAGATCTGAAAGAGACACGTGCACCCAATGTTCATCGCAGCACTGTTTATAATAGCCAGGACATGGAAGCAACCTAGATGCCCATCAGCAGATGAATGGATGAGAAAGCTGTGGTACATATACACCATGGAATATTACTCAGCCATTAAAAAGAATTCATTTGAATCAGTTCTAATGAGATGGATGAAACTGGAGTCCATTATACAGAGTGAAGTAAGCCAGAAAGATAAAGACCAATATAGTATACTAACACATATATATGGAATTTAGAAAGATGGTACCGATAACCCTATATGCAAAACAGAAAAAGAGAGACAGATGTATAGAACAGACTTTTGGACTCTGAGGGAGAAGGCGAGGGTGGGATGTTTCGAGAGAACAGCATTGAAACAAGTGTACTATCAAGGGTGAAAGAGATCGCCGGCCCAGGTTGGATGCATGAGACAAGTGCTCGGGGCTGGTGCACTGGGAAGACCCAGAGGGATGGGGTGGGGAGGGAGGCAGGAGCGGGGATTGGGATGGGGAATACATGTATATCCATGGCTGATTCATGTCAATGTATGACAAAAACCACTACAATATTGTAAAGTAAATTAGCCTCCAACTAATAAAAATAAATGAAAAAAAAGATTAAACAACAACAACAACAACAACAAAACAGGTGCAAGGAGTCAGGGACAGTGGAGGAGGCTGGGGGAGCTTCAGGGAAAGAGAGATTTTCCAGAGAGAATGTTGCAGTCATTTAACACTCAAGTCCTAAATAACGTGGGCTTTTGTTATCCACAGAACAGATTAGCTTTCTGGTTCTATTTGAGGCTTCCCTGAGAAGAGGAAAAGAGGGTCAGAAAACCTGTATGGGGATGTAAAGAAGGAGATTGGGTTCCAGGAGATGGTGCATTCAAAGTCTCAGGGGGTGTCGGGACCAGATTTCCTCTGAGCGCCTCATGGGCGTTTTGGTCTTTCAGAAAAAGCAGTTGCTTTTCTAAACCTGAAAAAAAAAAAAAAAAACTTTTTTTTTTACAAAGTGTGTAAACTGTAGAAGAAAAAAATGTATATAAAAGCACTCTCGTCACCTGAAGTTTTATACTTCTCAGAGCGGTTCCACTCGTCATGTAGTGCTTTGTGATTGATGTTCAAGACCCTTTACTTTCTCATCACACCTCATTCCTTTTAATTCTCCCGACAACCTTGCGAGAAGCTCTAATTATTATTATTACTCTCTCTGTTTAACAGATGGGGACAGGGAGGCACAGAGAGGTTAGGCGACTTGTCCAGGGTCACGTTTATACAAAGTAGAAGAGCCACTAGTTTTTCTCCTGTACGTCAGGCTAGTAATGATCCTGTTAATACTGCTCATTGTTGGTACTGGGTTAATTTAAGTAGAAATGACTGTCAAGTCACCCAGTAGCTTTCTGGATAGGACCAGAGGGGGGAGCAGTGGCCTTTCTGTCCCCCATAAAGCCAATTGTGACTGAATCCTCCAGTAACCAGTAACCAGGAGGGAAGAAAACCAGCTGCTCTCTCAGTATGGCCCCAAGTAGCCGCGTAGACGCTGCACTCTTGCTGACTAAAGGCTTCTTGAGCCGCCCTCCTCAGCAGGGCATCTCCCCCACTCAGAAGGACTTACCTAAGTAGGTGGACTCTCCTAGGGAGGAGCTGAATACCCTCAGGATGTCTATTCTGCTGGGTGGGGACACATTGTCTTCAGCTACTACCCAGGTTTGCATTCACAGGAGGATATGCAAGGTGTAGTGACCTTTACCCTGGAATGCTAAACACCTTATTTGTATATTCTACACCGTTGCCCTAGGTGGTAGGTGCTGTTATTTCCCTCTTGCTAGGCAAGTCATCTGAGGCCCAAAGAGATTTAGTAACTTGATCAAGAACACACAACTCCTTAGAAGATTTAAACCAGATAGTCTCGCTCCATAGCCTGCATTCTTAAATACTATACTAAGCTCATTTGATGAGTGTGAGCCATCCATTCATTCACCCATTTATTCCTGAACTCACCTCTCTACCTGCCCTTTCACCCATCCCCCATCCCCCATCCGTCTAGTCATTTGTCCAATTATATATCTTTCCATGACCTACCCATCTCACTATTCTCCCATCTGTTTATCTATCCATCCATCCATCCATTCATCCATCCCACTATCACCCATATGTTCATTCATTCATTCAGTTATCCATTTTTCCATCCATCCATCCATCCCATTTTCCACCCATCTGTTCATTCAACCATCTATCCATCTACCCATCCACCTACCTACCAACCATTGTATTGGCTGTTTGTCTAGCATGGTTTTTCTGCTTCATCTTGGGGAGGAAGTTTCTCCATCCTGGGGGCCAAGCACATGCTTTCTGAAGCTGGAGACCTCCATGCCCACACAAATGCCTTAACTCAGAGCCCTTAGACATATCTGGGCTTCCTCCTGACACTCCTAGTCTGGCCTTCTCCAGAAGGCTGCTATTTCCCGCAGTGCTATTCTGCTTGTGCACTTTCCTCCCTCTGTAAACTTGCAGAGGGTTTCCCCTTCAAAGTCCTACAAATGTGCAAAGCTTCAGGCTCCTCCACAAACACTCCCAACTTTCTGCAACATTATCACAAATGAATACCCAGCTAGTCCCATTCCTTGACTCAGAGATTGAAAGTTTGATTAGTTTGGCATGATTTTACTTTTTCAAGCTATTATAGAGTTTGTGTGATACTTCTAAAAATTATATAATCAATCCAAAACAGATGTTCACAAAGCATTTTAGAAGGAAACAAATTTTAATAGAAATAGGCTAATTTGATTTGAGATGAATCAATTAAGGAAACAATTTAAATTGTCTATGAAGAAGCAGTATTATAAAGAGGCAATATGGTCTAGCTATTAAGATATTTATTAAGTGCAAAGCAATGAAAGTCGTTTAATTATTTTGCATAGCTTCTGTTATACCCAGATATTGGAAGACAATCTCACTTTTCAGAAATTTTCACTTCTTATTATGGAAAAATTTAAACATAAAAGTTCTAATATGCAAACATAAACAGTTGAAAATGAACCCACATTTACCTATTACCCATCTTTAACAGTTACCAGCTCTAAGTGTAACCACTTTTCCCCTCTAATATTGTTGGTTTTTTTTTTTTTTGTTCTATGAGTTTCGAGAGCATATCCCTCACTTATTACTTTCATTGGGTCGAAGTTTCATCCTAGAAAATTATGTTGACATTGAAATATAATAAACATTTGAATGTAATAGTTTACTTTTCCTTTGAAATTTAGCTCTTTTTTGGTAGAGCAATGGAAATTTTCTTTTCTTCTATTTTTTTTAGTTAAAAAGTTTCAAACCTATAGTAAAGTTGAGAGAATAATAAATAAACCCTCGTATACCCTTCACGTCATTCACCAATCATTAGCCTTGGGACTGGCATTTTCTAAGTGTGTTTTCCCATGATAGTACTTGAAGACAGGAGAGATTCTCTTACCTTTGGAGGGTACGTAGATGATAGTACATGGCTTGAAAACCAGATCTCCGTTCACATCTTACCTCCACCATCCCTAGCCCTGCATTGTAGGCCAGTTGCCTCATACTTAATTCCTCATCTATCAAATGGAGCAGTCATAATGTACATTCTGGGGGGTTATGCAAGGTACATAATGTCACCCTGCTTGGCAGCTGCACCTGTTATCTTGCAGCTCGGGGAGCCAGCTAGGGGGACATTGAGTGTCACTGATTCCCGGCAGTTTTGGTCAATGTGGAAGATTTTTATAGTTGAGAGATTTGGTATGGCCTAGTGAATAAGAAAATAAATCTGGGCTGAGAGTGGTTCATATCCCAGTTCTGCTCTTACCAGCTTGGAACTTAGTTGACTGACTTAATCTCTCAGCCCCATTTTCCTCTCTGTAAAGTGGGGCTAGGAGGAATATCTACAACATTGGGTTATTGTCCGGAGAAATGAAATGAAAGCGCCCATGCCCAGCAGTTAGTAGTGTCTGCCTCACACATGCCCAGCTAGCATTACTAATCATTAGTGTTATGATAAGCAAGGACACATTAGCAGACTGGGTGGAAAATCCACACCAAATTGGTCTTTAAAAGTCTGATTCCACTTTTGTGCCACGAAAAGAATAATGACCTTCTGTGAACGCTCACAATACAATTTTGAGCTAGGGTAAGCCTTGGGGACTTCCCGGGTGGTCCAGTGGTTAAGACTTGGCCTTCCAATTCAGGGGGTGCAGGTTCGATCCCTGCCTGGGAGTTGAGATCCCACATGTCCCAGGGCCAAAAAAACCAAAATATAAAACAGAAGCAATATTGTAACAAATTCAATGAAGATTTTTAAAATGGTCCACACCCAATCTTTAAAAAAGAAAAAGAGTAAGCCTTGGACAGACAGGTAGAGGCAGCCAGCCAGGCGTGGCGTCATTCAGTTGTCATGGGAAACAACCGCTGTGTGCCTTTGGTTCCTTTCAGCGATCTCCTAAAATAAACTAGCCTTCTTGAAGGCTCCTGGGAGGGTTAACGTCCTGCCTCCTGGCGCCCCTAGCCAGGACGGACACCTCTATCCTTATGTTGTTCTTGTGACCTGGCAGTGATTTGATTTTTTTTTTTTCCTTCTCTCTCTCTTTCCTGATTCTCCTCCCACTTCCCAGGTCGAAAGGATTGTAGACAAGAGGAAGAACAAAAAGGGGAAATGGGAGTACCTGATCAGGTGGAAAGGCTACGGGAGCACGGAGGACACTTGGGAGCCGGAGCACCACCTGCTCCACTGTGAGGAGTTCATCGATGAGTTCAACGGGCTGCACCTGGCCAAGGACAAGAGGCTCAAGTCGGGGAAGCAGTCCGGCGCCGCCAAGCTCCTGCGGGACGGCCGAGGACCCTCGGTCGAGAAGCTCCCCCACAGGCCCTCGGACGCCGGCAAGAGCAAAGGGACTTCCCACAAACGGAAGCGGATCACCCCTTCCCTGTCCAAGCCCAAGAAAGGCTATTCGGCCAAGCCCCCCGCGGCCGGGGACCGGGCCGCCAAGACGGTGTCTTACAGGACTACCCCCAGTGGCCTGCAAATCATGCCGCTGAAAAAGGCGCAGAACGGCATGGAGAACGGGGACGCCGGCTCCGAGAAGGACGAGAGGCCCTTTGGAGACGGGTCCCACCAGCCTGACCTGGATCTGAACGACGTGGGCGAGCAGGACCTGGGCGACTGTGACGGGAGCCCCGCGGCGCTGGCGGAGAATGGGCTGGGTATGTGGCTGCTCCTCCTCTCAGATGGGGCTCTGCGGGCAGCCTGGGGAGACACAGGACCCCTGCCCTGGCTCTCTCACCTGGGGCCCTGCGGGCTCAATCCCTTGCCCACACTGGTCTCAGACGCCTATGTGGGTGGGGGAGGCCAAGCCACTGACGCTCTGGTCAAGGCCCGTCCCAGGTCCAGCATCCCCGGCTGCCCTCGGGGGTCCCGCTCTGGAGGCCCTGCACTGGGGGCAGCTCAGAGCCCTTAACCCCCAGAACCTGAGACTCATGTCCCCGGAGGCCAGCGTCTCTCTGGGGCTCACACACCTTCCAGGGCCCTTGCTTTCAATCTCGTCATGGACCCAGCGCCATAGCCCAGAGAGGTGTGGTCTGGGCTGGGGGTTGCTCCTCCTTCTCAGACCCAGTTTGGACTTGGAATTCTCCAAACTGGCCCTTACGCTAGAGCTTCCTGCCCCCCAACTCTCGCTAACACGCATGATCAGCCCACTGTCTGCATTGGGTCCCAGAGGCTGCCTGGACCCCACCCTCGGCTCCTTCTTTTTCTTTGTGCCTTCTTGTCCCCTCTTGCCAGTCGCCCAGCAGAGACGCTGGAATCCCCCCTCCCTCTGTCCAAGGCCCCACAGGCACAATTGGGGAAGGAGGAGACGGTGACCCAGGTGTTTCAAGCTCTCGAGTCTGACATTCCCTCAGTAGTCAGATGGTTTCCTGACTGAGGCCTCAGTGGCCAGGTCTTCCAGGTGAGCTGTCTGCACCTGTTACCTACCTCCCTTCTTTTCTCAGATACCCGTGTGTCCATGTGGTGAATTTTTCTCTTTAGCCGCCAGTACTCCAAGCCTTGGGAAATCCCTGCACGGGTGTGGACAACCCGCGCCCAACACAGTAGGGCCCTCCCATGCCCCGGGAGGAACCAGAGTGCGTGTGGGCATAGGGTGTCAGGAGGCAGGTGGGGCGGGCTGGGGGAGTGTCCGGAAGGATGGGGTGACAAGGCACGTGATGGGCATAGTGACGTCAGAGTTCAGGGCGCTCAGGGTGTGCCCGGCTGGGGAGAGCGTCCTCAGGGAACTCTCCCCGGGGGGAATCCGAGCGATCCCAGCTTCCGAGTTCCCTTTATCTCCAGAGAGAGGAGTTTCACCCAAACAGGATTGATTTAGCAGTCTCTGCCCCAGATTGACTCACGTTTCCGTCTGGGGATCCCTGATGCTGACATGACTCTGCCTGCTAGCATATGGAAAAGCTGTTTGTTTTAAAAAATCCATCTCTCGGGGAGGAGTGGGCTCGTGTGAACGAGGCCTGGCACAAACACCGGTGTTTGACGTTCCCGTGACAGTCGCCAGCAGCGGAGGCATTCCCCGTCTCGGGTTGACGTTCCCGTGACAGTCGCCAGCAGCGGAGGGATTCCCCGCCTCGGGCAGGGGAGCTGGGGCGGCTCCTGGGTGGCGGCTCCTCGGATGGAGGCCCAGGGGCTTGGCGGTGGCTGGTGGCAGCACCCCCCGCCCCTGCCGCCCTGCTCGAGGGGCCAGCCCTGAGAGCGGGGGTGGGGGGCAGCGTCGGGGAGGGCTGTGTGCTGACTCCGGCTGCCAGACCGCAGGGTGGAGGGAAGCCAGGCCTGTGGCCGTTGTGATGAAGGCTTGCTTCTCCTTCAGCACCCCTTTCCAGAGGCGGCGGGGCTGCCAGCTGTGTGCACTCCGTCCTCGGGTCTGGTCGATACCAACTGATGCAGGATGGGGCACGGTACCCCGCCACCGGGGGAGACAGGAGGACAGGCCTGCCGGCCTTGCTGGAGGCCTTGTTGATGCTGAGTGCCTCTCCGGACCTTTCTTCTTTCTGATCTCTGCTTGGCCTTATGTATTCGCAGTGTTGAGCACTCTGTACTCCACTCGGCCCACGCCTGCACAGAGAGGAGGAGGTCACTTGCCTTTCTCTTGTTTGGTTCTGAGTGTCCCCAACGGGTCCTTTGGCTTAATCACATCCTAGATTGGTGCCCTTCAGGTTCTCATAAGGCTAAGGCGGTGGTCCTCAAATTCATGTGTGTGAGATTCCCTGGCACTTTGTTAAAAGGCAAGCCCCTTAGAGTCTGATTCCTAAGTCTGGGGTGGAGCCCAGAAGGTGGTTCTTTAACAAGCACCTCCTGGTGGCTCTCCTGCATTTTGGGGACCTGCTCTGTGGCAAAATGCGGTGACAGTTACGTTTCACATCAGCTGTCAATTTAAGTCAGTGCAGTACTTTTTTTCTGTTCTTCGCAAGAGTTGATCACTATGCTAGGTGCTTGGAGGTGAGGAATGAAAACATAGGTGAGGACTGTGCCTTTGAAACTTAGAGCCTGCTCTCCAGTAAGTTGAAACTGGGTGTCTCTAAGTCGTTGTTGAGAAGACGCCTGAGGCTGATGCAGTGGTAGGAATAGCACATTTCTTACATGGATGGTGTGCCTTTCTGTACCTGGGTTGACATCTTCTGTGGTCACTGGGGTGATCAGTGCCCAAGCCCTGGCCAGCCTTTAACACTCTAGTTAGAGATAGCATCATATCCAGGTCTTAGAGTAACTAGGAAGAGGAAAAGACTGAGAATCCTTGCTAGAGAGAGAGAGAGAAAATGCAAGGTTTGGAGTTCTTGGAAAAGACCCGAGACAGGAGGTTCTGTGCTTCCAGAACTTTCCAGCCAGGGGTCAGAAGTATAGTCAAGCAAAGCGTGATTCCACTTATGTTTTCAGCTGGAGGGGTGCCTTGGTGCAGCCAGTGTTCATGCCCATGTGGACCCTGACTGTTCTGCCCCCTCTGCCCCAGTCCCGCCTTCTCTGACCACCTCCACCGCTGACCCAGGACCCCAGGGACACAAAGGGGAGGCAGCAGAGTTTTCAGCACAGAGGGGCCTCATATTTGCCTGGCAGAAGATGGGGAGATCCTGGCCACGCTTTCTCAGCATTTGTTTTGGGGGAGGGCTGTTGCTTTTTATATGATTTCAACTTCTCTTTGGTGAATTAAGGTTCTGCATACAGAAAAGCAACTTATGTAACACGTTACTCATTTACTGCTGACTTCCCCGATCTGAGCTGTGGGAACAAGTGCTAAATTGGGGCTCCAGCGGGTGGTGCTTTGGTTCCAGACAGCGTTTTTCCCCAGCAGTGTTTGTGAAGTGCAAGCAGAGGCCCAGGACAGCTTTTGCTTCTGGTTCTTTTCCCGTAATGACAAATGGCTCTGTGGTCCAGATACCATCTGCCTCAGTGTCCCTTCGGGAGCTTGTTAAAAATGGTCTCTATGCCCATCAATGAATCTCAGGGGGCGGAGTGTGGATTGTGTCTTTTCAATGCTGAATTTCCACAGCCATGGTGTATACAGCAGTTCTTACGGGAGTGTTTGGTTGTAATGACGAATGGTTCATAGTCCACGTCCTTTGTTGGTAGATCCAGAATTACTCCTTGAATTTTAAGCTCGTAAGTAGGAATGTGATTTAGTTCTTTAAAGGTTTAAAACCTGAAGTAACTTCTCCTTCTTGCTCATATACACTCTACCAGGCATCTCTCTCTTTCTTTTTCTCTCTCTTTTTTTCCTAAAACAAACCTGTTTCATCCATACAGAAAAGCTGTTAGATTAGTGAACTCCCCCTGTAGTCTGGTCCAGAATTGGTTAGCATAGTTTCATCAAAATAAGCCAAAGCATCAATTGTGTCTGATTCTCTGAGACCCCCATGGACTGTAGCCTACCAGGCTCCTCCTCCTTGCCAGGCTTTTCCAGGCAGGAATACTGGAGTGGGTAGCAATCCTCTTCTCCAGGGGATCTTCCTGACCCAGGATTGAACCCCAGTCTCCTGCATTGCAGGCAGATTCTTTACCACCTAAGCCACCAGGGAACCCCAAAGCATTAATACTTGACAGGTTCAGATGAACCTTTAACCTGTGGACACGTCCCTGACTCAGAGCCAACTCTGAGCCCCAAGCACAACACACAGATGCTCACTGTTCCCCGAATTTCAGTGAAGCCAGTGAGTTTTCGCTGTCGACACTGCCTCGTGGCCCCGTGTTCACGTTCCTCTGACTTTTGGGGAGCGCCGTCCTCGCGTCCGGGTGACTGTCTTCCGTAGCACAGGCACTGCGTCTCAGACGCTGCCTGATTTAGTGTTTTCAGAACTGTTCCCATCACTGAGTGAGTCATCCCACACAAACACACAACATTTGCCGTCTCTTCTCCATTGATCTTGTAAAATTATCTCAGCTTTCACTTCTATCGTGTTTGTTTATCTGTCCCTACTCACTCTCTCACCATGATTATCATCTTTCCTTTTATTGATCCTTGTGGAGTAACTGTGCTTTAAAAGCACTTCAGAACGAAATACGAACAGGGGAAATGCCCGATGACTTTCAAGAACCTTGGGTTCTCAAATGTGGAGCCGGCATCAGAATCCACTGAAGGGTGTGTTAAAACACAATTAAGGCGCCTGCCCCTACTGACTTAGCCACTGTGGCAGACAGCCTGAGACTGCATTTCTAGAAAGTTCACAGATGCTGCGGCTGGCTCAGGGACCCTGCTTTCAGAACCACTGGTCTGGATGACTAAGCACAGAGATGGCTGGGAACGCCAGCTGGTGGTACCGGGGAGAGCTGAAGCACTTTTGTTCTGGACCTTGAGTTTGCCTTCATGAGAATTCATAAGGTGAAAGTTTGTGAAACAAAGTTGTTAAGTGGAACGGCTTATTGTGTGGGAACTTCCCTGTCAGGCCTTGGAGTGTACGAAGTCCTTTCTGTGGTCCTCACAGCAGCCCTAAGCGGCAGCTGTTGTTATTCCTACCCGTTTTTCAGAGGAGGAGACTGAGGTTACAAGTGCTCAGGTTGGCACTAGGAGAGAAATCCAAGCAGGCCGACTCCAGAGCTAGTCCCTAGATCACTGCTTAACTGGCTCCCAGGCAGTACAAGGCAGTTCCTGATGGCTGATAAAAATACTCCCTGACTGGGGGGGCCTGGAATGTTGGTAGGACAGAAGCCACTTGGACGCATCCTTGTTGCT